ATTTATTTTTGTAATAATCAAATTTTTGTAAGTTATAATTAATAATAAAAAAATTATAATTAAACTATAAAGAATCTGTACAAATAAAAAATTGAATTTGTTAAAGAAAACAATCATTGAAGAGGTCGTTCCATTACCATTCTACTTTCATCCCCTTTTTTAGTAAAATTTAAGCTACAAGGAGTACAATAGTATTCATCAGGATTAACTCCTTTTTTCCAGTCACTACTTTTCTTACCACAAATACAACAAGTCTTTTCTTGAAGAGCAGCAATCCTAGCAGACCGTTCTTTTTCTAAAGCTTCATATTGAGCTTGTTGTTGTTGTTTAATTTTTGCTTCTAACTGAAGGATATGGTCAGTGCTATAATTACTAAATGCTTGTTTTTGGAATTCATTAAATATATCCATTAATCTTTTTCTAAAAGAAACTAATTCTTCATGTGTTAAATCTCGTGAGTATAAAATGGTTAATATTTCTAATGACAATGTTTTTATTTTGGTTGGAAATTGTGGATTATCTTCAGCCATGCCTCTCGATACTTACTAGATGATTTTGATTTTAGAGTGCTTTTATACGACAACTCATAAAAATTATTTCTTTTTTAACTTTTATTTCTTTTTTTAATAAAACTATTCTTTTTTATTATGTTTTAGTATTTGTATAGTTTCTTTAAATTGTGAAAAATTAATTCTTCACTTTTTTTAAAAAAGGGTTTTGTTTCATAATAAAAAAAAATTAAAAAGAAAATTTATTGATTATATTTTTTTTATCATTTTTGTTATTTCAAATAGATATTAAGAAATATTTTATTTAACATCTTAATGATAAATAATTTATGAATAATTTTAATAGTTTATTGATATAAAAGATTGAGTCTTAACTTGATAGTTAAAAAATAATATTAAAATAGAATAAAATAGTATTTATTTAATAATATTTTAATTTAAACTAATATTAGTTAATTAAAAAAGAAGTATTAATAATGCAAAAAGTACGTCCTATGAATTTTAATGAATGGCCGTTAGTTAGTATGTGGATATCTGTAAGTGATTTGTTTGAGAATATTGATATCAATAAATTTAAAAGAAATTTACCTCATGTACTTAAACAATATACTCCATTTAAGCTTTTTGCAAAATCAGAAAAGACAAATACAAATGATCAAATGGATATTAAAAAAACTCCGTTTGGTTCAAAGAATACTGATGAACAGTATTGGTGGTATAAAGCAAATGATGACTGGTTAATCCAAAATGAAGAAGAATATTTAAAAGAAGTTCCTTTTGAAGATAAAAGAGAAATTCGTTTTACAAATAAGAACCTTATGACAACATCAGGTCTTTTATATTACATTGAATGGAGTCAAAAAGGAAATAAATTTAGAATAGAACTTTTTACTTCACATTCTCTTTGTGATGGCAGAACGATATTTAATTGTTTTGATGTTATTAGAAGTGTAATCACTGAAGAGAAGTGCACTTTTGAAGATGATCCACTTCTTGATTATGATGTTACTTCATATTACTCATTAACACAAGACCAATTAAATTCTATACCAGAGGCATGGCATTTGGAAGAAGGGAGATGGTACCCAGATACTGGATTTGATGAGAATGAAAATATATGTCAAACAGTGTCATATTGTTATGACAGTGTAAATAAATTTTGTCATAAATATAAAGTTGGTATTCAGTCTATTATCAATACTTGTCAAACTCGTGCTTTTAAAAAATTTTATAATTTACCTGATAGTACTGAAATAATAATTTGGTGTCCTACTGATACTAGACATTCTTTATTTGCAAATGAACCAATTAAAAGAAGACATTTTTATGCAAATAATGGTGGTAGTTTTATTAGAACAAAAGGATATGGTGATCTATTAAAAGACATTATTGAAGGAGATAAAGCTGTAAAAGAATATACAAAAAGATATGATTGTTGTTTGAATGTGATTAATCAAGCAAAAGGATTGTTGGACCGTCTTCCTTCAGTTTTTAATAAATCTCTTATTGTATCTAATATCGGATCTATCAGAGAATTCTCTCATCCAGAATTTGCTCTTTATTACCTTTTTAATAAGAATACATACTGTATTAATATGTACTCATTCCATAATGATGAAACCATTTATTTCATGTATGCTAGACCATTAAAAATAAATTCAGAATTATTAGACTTAATGTTAAATGAACTTAATAACATCATGAAATTTATTAACTCAGTAGTTGATTAATACTTATTATTTTTATAATTATTAAATTAAACCTGGATTTATAAAGATAATTTGATGGGTAATTTCATTAAATGGGTTTTCAAAATAAAATAATTAAAAAATAATTAAAGGATTTTAAAACTTAAAAGCACTTCTTTATTAGAATAAAATTAATGCAGAATATCAAACAAACAAAATAATAACACAATTAATGAATTTATTTAGGATTTGTTTTTAAGAAAGAGTTAATTGCTTCAGCAACATTTCTTTCACTAAGAAAGTTTTTTTGTGAAGGGAGAGGAGTAGTAAAATCTTCTAATGGAACAGGAACACCATTCCAGATATATCCTTTTAGTGGGTCTATTTTCACTGAGTCTTGAATTCTTTCATAGAAATCAATAACACTTGCCATAATATTATCAATACTATTACAAATTACACCACTTAAAGTTGGAGCAGGATAAATGTTAGTTTCACAAATAAAAAATGCATACTAATATAAAGTAAATAATGAGTCATATAAATAAGTGCATATAAATATTATTTAAACAAACTTTAATTGTTTCTTTCATCTCTTGATTTTCAACTCTAACAATTAAATATATACTTTGTTTACCTTCTCGTTTATATTCAAAGACTTTAAATGGTTGAATTTTTTCTAATGAATACTCTTCAGGTGAAAGACGAATATCACCACCAGTTTGAGCAAAAAAATTAGTTTCACTGAAATAGAGAAATGCAGTTTCTTTATCAGGAAGTCCATTAGCAGGATAAAAATCAGAAGGACTTTCAAACATAGTAAATTGAGGTTCTTCTCTTTGCATTTAGTGAAATAAAAAATAAAGTTTTTTTTAAACAAAATAATTAGTCATATGGAATTAAGAAAAAATATTATTAAAAGAATAAGAATAAATAAAACCAATTCAAGTAAATTAAGACAATCATTTTGTATGACTATCAATATTCTCTCGAATATCTTTTAAGAACTTCTTCAAATTACCTGCTTTAGCAGGAATTTGTTCTAAACTATCAGTAATATATTTACTAACATCTTTATATTTAGAATCAAAAGTAATACCAGTATCAACAATACCACGAATTAAAGTATTCATAACTAAAGCAATTTTTAAAGCATATTTTTGTTCTGAATGTTCAACAATTACTTTCATCCATTCTTCAATATGTTCGTTTAACATTTCAGCAATCTCTCCATAATTTGTTTTATTATTAGCTTTCTTTAATAAGAAATAACTGAAGTCTAATGCTACAATTCTTAAATACATATTTGATGTTTTCATGGCTCCAATAACACATACTTTAATAACATCAGTTCCTTGAAGTAATTCTGATCTTTTCATATTAACAACAACAGCCTTAAATGGTAAACATCTTTTCTTATTAAATTCTCTTTCAATTTGTGAAATGAAATATTTTTTAACTTCACCTGCAAGTAAAGCATATCCTTTTTCTACATATTTAATGTAAAATCCTAATGCCCTTTGTGCAATAAGAGAAGTTTTTTGTTTAATAAGTAATTCACTAAAAATGATAAATTGTTCTTTCATATATTCGTCAGTAATTTCTTTAGTTATTGGAGCGTGTTTACTAATTCCTTCACAGATTTTACATAATCTTTCATAAATTAATGAAAATCTTGATTTATTATAAAGATTACCTGCACCTTCAATAAGAAGTGGAATAAACTCAATAAATTCTTTATTATTACACTCTGCTTTACAAAAGGATTCAAGTAAATCACAAACTCTAAATTGGAATTGGACTTGTCGTTGTTCTTTTGTTTCTTTTTTCTTTTTCTCCATTTCTTTCATCTTTTTATGAATTAAAATTTCTTCTTGTGCATCTTCATTTTCAAGTAAATCAAATACATCAATTTCTTTCTCTTCCAAATCTTCTTTTTTATTTTCTTCTTTTGCTTCTTCTTTTTTATTATCTTTTTCATCATCTTCTTCAATAACTAAATTTTCTTCACAATTAATAACAGCATCAATAACATTTTTAATACTTTTTCCAATACTCTTAAGTAATTCCTTCCATACTAAATTAACTAATCCTCTTATTTGACTTTCTGTTCTTCCTAATAATCCAATCAATACATCAATTAATACTTCTTTGGCTTCTTTATCATTTTCGTTAGTTGTTAATGAAGATAATGCTTTCATTGTATCATTTAATACTTCAAGACTCTCTTCATTTTCATTATCAATATCTAAAACAAGGAAGTATAATAATAATTGGAATACTGGTTTCTTTTCATTTTTTTTAATAACCTTTTCAAAATCTTTTGGTATTTTGTTGTCTTCTTGTTGTTTTTTAAATTCATATAATACAATAAAATTATTTAACATTTCTGCTATATAATCTTTATTATGTGTTGTCATAGACAACTGAAGATACCTTTGAGTAGCACTTTCATTTTTAATTAATTTATGAAGATATTCATGAGGATATTTATGTGCAATAGCGTACAATAAAGTTAATATCTTATCATGTGTTTCTTTATTGATATTAGGAGATAATGCAATATAAACTATCATTTCAAGTAACCAATTAATATTAGCTTTTTTATCAAAAAGAGTAATAATTAATTGAATAAATTTATCACTTTCTTCTGGTTCAAGAAGTTTAGATAAACGAGATATAGTTTTAACACCAGCTATCTGATCAAAATAAATACTTCCTCCATCTCCAATAAGATTTTTAATTATATCAAATGCATAATTGGTACTTTGTCCAATAACTGTTAATAAATGTGCTACAACTTTTTTTAATGGGTGTCTTCTAACTAATGAAATTGCAAGTAATAATTTAACAAATTTTGGTTGTAAAACAATATTAATATCTTCTTGATTAAAATCTTTGAAACAGTGACTAAGTGCCATAAAAATTGAATAACAAATACGTTCTCCTTTACTCATTGGAAGTAATACTTCTTCCATTAATTTTTTAAATTGTTTTTCTTTACGAGAATATTGAATTAAATAATGCATTAATGGTACTTGAGAAGAACCACTTGTCTCACATGCTGTTTTAAGTGCTAAATGAATAGCATTAATACCATCTTCACTAAACAATCCTTTTTCAAAACATGATGGAATAGTAAGTTTAATTTCAAGAGAACTTTGAAGACACACAAGACTAACATCTATTGGAAGAATAGACTCTTTAGTAACTTGTTTCATATGTTCATTTATAGAAGCAATAATAAGACTTTTAATATTTCCTTTTGCATTTTGAATTAATAAAATAAGTGCCTCAGTTGATACTTCACAAAGATATGATTTCTTATTAGCAAGGAAAAATAATGTTTTCATTACATATTCTACGGTCTCTGTTTCATTAACTCGTTGTGCCTTTATTAAAGCCAAACAAGTACATAATCTTCCAAAGAGTACATCTCTTAATGCTTGACGAGCATTACCAGTAGTAGTAAATGTAGATGTAGCGATATCTACAACAGAACTCTCTTGGATAGAAGGGAATGTTTGAAGAAGTAAAATTAAACATAACAAATTTCCATCACGAGCACAGTCGTGTGATGAACCTAAACTCTTAATTAATCTATTCAATGAATAAACCATAACTTCACTATGTTCACCATTTTTAATTTCACTCTCTGCTTTTTTAAGAATGGTAATAATTGATTGAGCGGCACTGATTCGAATTTGTGGATCAAGAGAAGCAAGTTCAATAAAATAATCAGATGTTGTAGACATGTCAATAATTCAATCTATTTAGATTTAAAGATAACCACTTTTTAGGGTTAGTTAAATAACACAATAATAAAATAAATGTTATAAAAAAATATTTTTATGAAAAAAAAAACAAAAAATAGAAATAATGAAGAGATGGGGTTTTAAATATGTTTTTGGAGAAGAGAGAACATGAATAGGGATTTGAACTGCTTTTTCTTAATGAGCGGTGTAAAAAGGAAGAGAGACATAAGACATGGAAAAAAGAAGATGAATGCTCTTGAAATAAATCAAACAACAATAGACTGTTTTTTTGGATCAAAAAGAAAAAAGAGAAAAAGTCGAGAGATAATAAATATTGATAATGAAAAAGAAAAAATACGTAGAACAGAAGATATATTAATTGGAAATTGGATATTAAAAAAGAAAAAAGAAGCACAAAATGGAGAAAGAATAAAAAAGAGATGTTGTGTATTATTAGAATATATTTCATTTGATTTAAAAAATATTTGTGGAGAATTAAATGTATTATGGAAAGAAACAACAATTGAAGAATTATGTCAAGAAACAAAACGTGGACAAACAAAAGATGATCCAATTGATTTAGAAGAAATACAAATTACAGTTTATGAATTTGACATTGAAACAAAACAACAATTAAAAATGTTAACAACACAATTAAAATATATAAGTCAAATATTTGTTATTAGAATGAGTGAATTATTAATAACAGATATGACATTATTAATTTCAGAATGTGAGTTATTCATTCCAATGAAAGATGGAATTGAATATATGATTTACAAACTTAATTCTTCTATTAAAAAAGATAAAATAAATTTAAATAAACCTCAAATTAAAAAAATATTCGATA